CCTCCACTGGCTTCCACTCGCCCTCCTCCACTCTCTGCCAATCCCTCCACTGGCTTCCACTCGCTGCCAATTCCTCCACTGGCTTCCACTCGCCCTCCTCCACTCTCTGCCAATTCCTCCACTGGCTTCCACTCGCTGCCAATTCCTCCACTGGCTTCCACTCGCCCGCTTCCACTCGCTGCCAATTCCTCCACTGGCTTCCACTTGCCCTCCTCCACTGGCTTCCACTCACCTGCCTCCACTCTGCCGATCCATCCACTCACCGCCTTCACCCTCTGAAGTTCCTCTTTACATGCACATAATGAAGAGTATCGCCATAGATGACACAAGACAATACCGTAATGCTATATTATTTTTCTGTTTTTACAGATCACGCCCGTCAGATCACCAAGTCTATGATACGTAAGCCTATTCTAGACCGGCTAGTCAAACAGCAAGAGGCTGATATCAATAATTTTGTCAGCTTTATCTCCAAGGAATCCATCCAGAAGTCTTTGCAGGTCTATATGGACATGTTGAAGCAGAAGAAGCCATAACTTGCTGAGTAGATGTTGCAGTATATAGGAAAGCCATAAACTGCTGTAGCTCACAGAGCCTGCAGCATGGAGGAGGATGGGATGTGGTGATGATGGAGGAATCTCTCGACGAGCTGCCTATGTAAATTCTCAATGTTCTTGCTAAGCTGATTACAGGTCTGCAGGGATGTTGCGTGGTAGCCATGTTTTTGTATCGCCTTTTTCACAATCAGATGGTAATGGAAATTCAGCCCGTGTTTCCTTTCTACCAACCTAATAAAAATATTTTGTGAAGAAACGCTTAAAAGTCTACTGTGTGGGATGCTTGTATAAAATAAGCAATTCATTGTAATGTTGAAATCCCTGGTAAACAAACAAATGTTGTCCAAGTACGAGAGTCATGTGTTAACTTAATCATGGTCTCCTTTGCAGATCTTTATAGCAATCCAGCATTAAAACTATTTCCACTTTACCTCTGTGCAGGAGCTTCCTGTAATGAGGACCAGTCCCTGCTGCTCTCTGTCCTTGTGTAGTGTGACTGGTCTGTTATCCACCCCTTCCTGTAATGAGGACCAGTCCCTGCTGCTCTCTGTCCTTGTGTAGTGTGACTGGTCTGTTATCCACCCCTTCCTGTAATGCGGACCAGTCCCTGCTGCTCTCTGTCCTTGTGTAGTGTGATTGATCTGTTATCCACCCCTTCCTGTAATGCGGACCAGTCCCTGCTGCTCTCTGTCCTTGTGTAGTGTGATTGGTCTGTTATCCACCCCTTCCTGTAATGCGGACCAGTCCCTGCTGCTCTCTGTCCTTGTGTAGTGTGACTGGTCTGTTATCCACCCCTTCCTGTAATGAAGACCAGTCACTGCTGCTCTCTGTCCTTGTGTAGTGTGACTGGTCTGTTATCCACCCCTTCCTGTAATGCGGACCAGTCGCTCAGTTCTTGATCTATAGAGTCTGAGCTGTGGCAGCTTGAGTGTCACACGTCGGCTCTAACTATTGGAATGAGTGTATTTCACTTATCCCATAGTTCTCCTTTAAATAATCTTTGTACAGCTTGGTGGAGGGGTTATTTGTGAATGTTGGTCAACACTTCAGGCTGTTGGTTTGTGTTGCAGAAAACACAATGATGTATCCTGAGGTTATGATCAACATTTTGGATATCTCCTATGCCATTGGACTGTATCTGCCCTTCTATATATAGCATCTCCACGGTATCCCTCTGGCCGGAACTTCCTGTAATGAGGACCAGTCCCTGCTGCTCTCTGTCCTTGTGTAGTGTGACTGGTCTGTTATCCACCCCTTCCTGTAATGCGGACCAGTCCCTGCTGCTCTCTGTCCTTGTGTAGTGTGACTGGTCTGTTATCCACCCCTTCCTGTAATGCGGACCAGTCCCTGCTGCTCTCTGTCCTTGTGTAGTGTGATTGGTCTGTTATCCACCCCTTCCTGTAATGCGGACCAGTCCCTGCTGCTCTCTGTCCTTGTGTAGTGTGATTGGTCTGTTATCCACCCCTTCCTGTAATGCGGACCAGTCCCTGCTGCTCTCTGTCCTTGTGTAGTGTGACTGGTCTGTTATCCACCCCTTCCTGTAATGAAGACCAGTCACTGCTGCTCTCTGTCCTTGTGTAGTGTGACTGGTCTGTTATCCACCCCTTCCTGTAATGCGGACCAGTCCCTGCTGCTCTCTGTCCTTGTGTAGTGTGACTGGTCTGTTATCCACCCCTTCCTGTAATGAAGACCGGTCGCTCAGTTCTTGATCTATAGAGTCTGAGCTGTGGCAGCTTGAGTGTCACACGTCGGCTCTAACTATTGGAATGAGTGTATTTCACTTATCCCATAGTTCTCCTTTAAATAATCTTTGTACAGCTTGGTGGAGGGGTTATTTGTGAATGTTGGTCAACACTTCAGGCTGTTGGTTTGTGTTGCAGAAAACACAATGATGTATCCTGAGGTTATGATCAACATTTTGGATATCTCCTATGCCATTGGACTGTATCTGCCCTTCTATATATAGCATCTCCACGGTATCCCTCTGGCCGGACCTGGTCTCTTGGTCTTTGTCTGCTATTGAAGATCCGTTGAACAAGCACATACCTACCACTCACTTCTGGCATTTGTACAGTACAAAACCAACAATCCAGATACTCCCACTGCTGTTGACATAGGGATCGCGTCTGTTCTCTTTGCATATTAGATTGATACAAGGTTCTGTCAGGGATCCAAACCCTTGACAAGTAAATGATTGCAGCACGCTCAACGAAAATGTTTTCAAACTGAATGTTGAATTATAACTTCAATAAGATTGGGCATCACGTCTCAAAATACAACCAGACAGCTGCCAAAATACATACGGTGAAATCACCAACTCTCTGTTCACCTTTCCTTTTATGTGTTTCGTTTTGGATACAATGGGAAGGTGTTGAAAGTCTTGTCAGGTTTTTATTGTTTTCACCAGAGAAAGGTTATGAAATCCAAAATGTTCATTTTCACTGGAACAGGAATAGAGGGGACATTTCAGTGGGAGTTCTGTTTAGGTGACCGCTTTTTAAGCAGCTATTCCCCTTCATTCTGCAGAGATCTCCTCTTACTTCCTGTTGTGTTTCTGGGACAGGAAGTAAAGGAAAGTCTCCCGATTAGGACACAGCAAAAAAAAAAGGTAACCTAGGAGGGGTTTTAACCATTCCCTCCTTTTAAACAAAGCTAAAAAAAAAAGTGTTGCGTGAAATAAAAATTGATATGGTTAGTATAATATCTGTAAAAAAAAAAAAAAGGCAAGGCAACTGGACTTGCTGTATTTTTCTTGAAGACGTTTCACTGGTCGTCCAACTAGCTTTCTGAATTGAGAAAGCTGGTTGGGTCCCAGTCTTCCGCATTATCAGGAAACATGCGCAAGCGCCAATCAACAAGGCGGCTGCACAAAGAAGCGTTAACGTGGTGCACAGGAAGAGACACGACTCCCTCTGATTGATGGGTCTTTTTAAACCAGTCTGTTCAGTTGACTAGTGCTCTTGTGTTCTTGCTGCCTGTGTTCCTGTCAGTTTTATTACCTGTTGCCTTTACCTGGATTACCTTGACTACGCCTGATTGCTGCCTGCCCTTGACCTCTGCTTGTTTCCTGGATTCCCTTCTGTCTTCTCCCTTGATACCGTGCTGCCCGACTGGTTTGACCTCTGGCTTGTTTGACTTGCTCCAGTTCCTGCTACCGTCTACACTGACCTCCTAGCTGAATACCAGTCCTTCTCACGATCCCGGGGAACCTGTTGCTGGACTCTTACCTGGGACGGTGTCTGAACACCTTGGCACCCGTGCTACTCTGTCTACTCATCCCTGTCCCCACGTCCAAGGGGTGTGACACAAGAGCTGCAAGGGAGGCCTCCTCAGCTCATTCAGTCCTCTACCAGGTACGTGGTACAGAGCAAGAGTCCTTCTCAGCGCGCTGGTAGGGCACAGGCTTTTCTACTCAGGCTTTCTAAAAACTATAGGTGCCCATACACCTGACTATTATCGTACGATACCGCGATCGTACGATAATCGGCAGGTGTATGGGCAGCGTGCGACCGCTTCTACTGTACGGTCGCACGTCTTTTGTCTTCCGAGCACGATCGAAAACCCGCCGAGAATCGTACGATTTTCGGCGGGTTAGTGGCGTGCTCGGAAGACAAATGCCGGACGGGCCGGTGTGCGCAAGCGCACACTTCCCACTCAGCACTGCAATCATCGGAAGCCTTGGCGGGGAGGGCTTGCGATGATCGCAAGTGCGATCTGCCTGTCCAAGATGGTCAGATCGTACGAGATTTGAATTACCTTACAACCATCGCACAACGAAAGTCGTGCGATGGTTGTAAGTTGTATGGCCACCTTAAGACTTGGCACACATTTTGTTTTGATTCACCTGGAAAGTATTTAGCTGATATGAACTGAAAGATGAAGTTTATCAATGAATAATACGAGAAGTACCATAAATGTATAAATAAGCTCTGGGAGGGAAGAGAAAGCTTTACAGAGAAAGTGGACGGACAATGGACCTGTATCAGAGTAACATCTGACAGACAATGACTATAAAGTTGTAGCTGATCGAGTCCTCCATCCAGTGATTTTGGGAAGCTATACAAGCACCGTTGGAGAATAAAGTTGGTAATTTATCCAGTTTTGATAAACTCCCCTCATTCTTTTTTAAGAAGGCTTTACTGTGGTGCAACAACAACAACAAAGAAGTCGGAGTGTTCCCAAAGACCTAACAGTGTACAGACTGTAAAATGTGCCACACAAAGGGCAGCAGTGAGTTGCTGTAGGATCCGCTTACATGCAGCCTGTTCCTTCTGAATTTATCTTGCCTAATGCCAAAACAATTAAGTATTTTTTTTACTCTGAGTGTCATATGATAGCCCAGCCTGACTACATCCCAGACGGGTGGAAATTAGGGATGCACTGATACCGGTTTTTCGATACTTTGCTTTCGGTACTCATCAATAACGAGCCCCGATACCGGTGCTTCCACTGGCATGGAGCTGGCTTCCCAGGCATCTGATTGCTCAAGATGCCGGCTCCATGTTTTCTGGCCGGCTTGATTGTGCTTGGCCGGGAAACTGGCTTCCCAGCCAATCAGCATCGAGCCGGCTTCCCGGCCAATCAGGAAGCTGGGAGGCGGGTCATTACTCGCCGCCCAGCTTCCTGATCGCACTGGAAGCCGACTCCATGTTCCCCTTCCTCTGGCCGGAAGGTCAGGTATCAGAGTATTTGAGCAAGTATGAGTACTCTTCCATATACTCGGTATCGGCACCAATACTAGTATCGGTGCATCCCTAGTGGAAATATTAATCCTCCGCCATCCACACTTCAGTTTTTCCCATCCACACAAATGATGCATCTTTCACTAATATGATATATAAATACTTCTATTACATTTATTAGGTAAAACGGCAGACAAATATTTTACATTTTAACACCGATACTCAAAATGTTTTCTGCATAGTTTTCCTCTTCTACACTGATACAGAGTTCACTTGTGCAGCATGTCCCCCATCGGCGTCTCTCCTTTTCCTTCAACCTGATTTGTCCTGTTCATCAGCTGGCACAACTAGTTCCCAAACTTGCATTAAGGTAAGAACACATTATATATATTGTACAGGACGCCAGGAATGGGTCCTGGATGGACGGTATATCCCTCCCTTGTTTAGGTGGTGGCCCCGTTAAGGTCACCTTGTATTCAGAGCCTCCATCCCTGACTACAGCCAGTTCTGGTACTGAAAGGGTTAGACCACCAGCCAGAGGGTGTGTTAAAAAGGAACAGAAAGCCAGTCAGTCTGGCTGTGTGGAGTGTTTGGAACAGGACACATGGATATGTGTGTTAAAGGAGAACTATGAGGTGAGTGCTTTTCACTCACCTCATAGTTCTAGCCGACCTGTGATAATGATACTGTCACTGGTCGGCTCTGTAGATCGGGAGGTGAGAGAACACATACCGGCGTTCGCTCACTTCTCGATCCTGTCACTGCTCTCTGCCGTGACAGTGGAGGGGCTGGATTCCCCCCTCCCCGCTCCGATCCGCCAGCGCTGACTGGCGGAACGGACGGGGGAGGGGGCGGGTACAGCTGGCTCTGCCTCTAGATAGGCAGAGCCAACTGTCACTCACGCAGCTGGGCGGATCCAGACATAATTGTCGGGATCCGCTGCGGCGTCTCGGTATACCGCGAGCTACACTGAGCTTAGGGTGACGGGAGGACGCTAGTTTGTGTCCTCCCGTTACCCTAAGGAGAACTATGGGGAAAAGCCCTGACCCCATAGTTCGCCTTTAAGTTGTGGAATACAGTCTGCCGAGACACTGCTGGGGCACCTGCGTCCATACTGGAACCCTCTGTGAGCAGGCTGGGACTCTAACCCTGAGGTGGGACTTAGTATACAGGCGCTGAGATGAATCTTGTGTTTGCTGAATATAAGCCATTTACTTTGACTGTTTGTGGAAATGAATAAAAGTTTATTTTCTGATACGGCTGGCTACGGGTCATAACCGCCCCGAATATTACAAAATCTATAGTACAATATAATACACATATGTAAACAGAGTATCATAACTGGCTGTCATATTCTCAGAACCCATTCCCCTTTAATCTTTTGATCAGTTCATGTCCTCAAATCATTCATATTTTAAAAGGTAACCTGTCATGATAAGGAATAATGGGGGCTGCCATTGCTTAGCTCCCATCCTGAGAATATTCGTTCCCTGGGTGTCATGATGTCATTCTTCAATATATTGTTTCTTCCATGATAAGATAGGATGGGATTTTCACTTGGTACATGGATCAGTCAGGGGTCACAGTGCCCATGCAGATGACGAAGCATGGCGTCCTTTACTGCTTCCCTTTAAGCCAACATTAGTTCCAGCTCCACAGGGTAGTGGTCACTCACAGCCAAAGCCTGCAGAGAGGGAAATGAGAATCAGCCCTTTGAAAGACAGTGGGAAATGTTTCATTATGTTCATTGTTTGACCATTCTGTTTTCCAGCCCGCAATTCGCACCCAAATCTTCTACATATATTGCATTGTGTGTATTGCAGGTTCTTATTTAATTATTTTCTGGAAATATAAGTTTAAAAAAAATAGGAACCAAATGGGATGTTCTGGAAGGAGGATTCTGTAACCAATCTAGAAGTTCTGCAAGTCCTAGATGAGTCTCTGCTTTAAATGGTAATACTGCATGCTGATGAATGTATTAATGGTATCATAACCCCCCTTACTAGCCCTCCTCAATGAATCTACACTAAAGAAGAACTCTGGGAAAATCACAAACTTTCCCTTGCAATGGGGCTACCCCTGCACGTCAAGGATTTAGGGGCTTGGTTTGTCTACAAGGTTGAATAAAGCAGTTTTACTTACATGATCTTCAGTCCTACAGCAGTCACCTCTTTCCCCCTCCTCATGTCTAATGCAAGTCAATGGACCTGCATGAGATGTGATGACATCAGCGGTCCTCAGACCACTGGAGTAGAGGCAGTGGGGACCAGTCTACCAGCCTTGAGGGAGCTGGCAGGACTTTGGATCTGGTAAGTAAATCGGCTTTATTTGACCCCCCCTAGATAAATGAGCATTTAACTCTTGCAGTGCGGGCGGTATCCCCCTGCATGGGTACGTTTGTGATTCTCCCAGAGTTATTCTTTAAAACTCCACCAACTGCTTACTTACATCAGTAGGAGAGCTGTGGCTCCTTCCTTGTTTTCATTCTCTCCAGTTTGGGAATATGGCCTTCTTAAAGGCATACAAGCACTGAGCCCAAGCACTACCTACAAAGTGACATGGAGCGCCAAAGGAGTGCCTGACGAGGGAGTGCATGGTGACAGTGAAGTCTGTAAGGGTGCATTGTGGAGACGGGGCTTCAACCTCAAGAGGATAAAGAGATGCAACAGGACACGACTGTCCTACAAAAGTAAATCAACCGCTTTAGTGTAGGCTTGTTCCGGTGGGCTACAGAGTGTGAATTTTAAGATTGGAACAGCTGTCCGATTGTTCAATGGAATACTGTAGATAAGAAAGGTGCTTTGCTCTTCTCTTTTATCTTATTCTCTATCCTCATGACTTTCACTGTAGAGCTTATCTGTCAGAATAACCTCAAACCCTTCTGTTTCCCTCATCTATGATGAATCGTCTATCACGCAAGAAGAAGAGTATCAGAACAGAGAGATAGTTCCTATGTAAGCAATGGCATATTTAAAGTGTATTTCCACTTTCACAGCCAAATTGGGATAACACCTCATTTTTATTATATGGTCCCATTCACATCGCATAAGCTAAAAAAAAAATGTTTCTTGCAGTTTACATTGCTTTTATTTGAGTTAGGGTTTCTTGGGTTTTTAAGGGTTAAAAATTCTACTTGGTTCTCCTCTGTAATGTTAAGAGGGGCTGTGAGGGATGAGGGGCTTTGAGGGATGAGAGGGGCTGTGAGGGGCGAGGGGCAGTGAGGGATGAGGGGCTGTGAGGGATGACGGACTGTGAGGGATGAGGGGTTTTGAGCGATGAGATGGGCTGTGAGGAATGACAGGGGCGAGGGGCTGTGAGGGGCGAGAGGCTGTGAAAGGCGAGGGGCTGTGAGGGGCTATGAGGGGCAGTGAGGGATGAGGGGCTGAGAGGGGCGAGGGGCTGTGAGGGATGAGGGGCAGTGAGGGATGAGGGGCAGTGAGGGATGAGGGGCAGTGAGGGATGAGGAGCTGTGAGGGATGAGGGGCTTCTGCATTGTGTGTTAATGAAGTTAATGAGAGAAACACAATGCTCAAGTTTCAGTCCTAAGTCTTTCTATGAGGTCAGATCACTGTGATGGTGCTCAGAAAAACCTGGAAACAGCCATGTTGCCTGCTGCAACAAAAACATCTAAAAGGAAAGGAATATTTTTTTAAAGTATTTTTTAAGCTGTGTGAATTAGAACACAAACATATAGAAGGGTTTTCCCAAATTTGACTCCAACAGTATAAATGCACTTTAAGTTACAATGCTGGTTACACAATACTGACACAAATCAGCACACTAATGAAACATAACATAACACAGAAACATGTAATGTAAATTTACGTTATCGTTTTTACTTCAATCACTTACCTGCTCTAGTGTTAGCTTGTACTTCTCATGAAAGTTGAAAACTTGAGCTGAGTCCTCCACTATAGCATTCTGCAGGTCTGCGCCACTGATAACTATTCTGCATGGCAAAATAAAAGGTCAGTTTTTCACCCATGTTTACATTCACTGATTACCCCCCGATTTGTCAGTCGAAGTTTGTTGAGCCGGTCAAGGCCACTCATGGCTCAACTTACGGCTGATTTGCAGGAATCGAGCAGAGTATGGTCAGCTTCGGATTTTGGCTGACCATGGGGGCAAGGTTTGAGGGTTGTCCTCAGGTTAAAGGTCAGGTTTAGGGATTAAATCTCAACTATGGGAATGCACAACACTGGCTGTGTGGACTAATGTTCACTGATGCAAGTTACCTTCTATCACTTCACCCTGTCCTTCACATCCCTGCCCCTCCTCACCATTTGCACATTCACAAAATGCTTTCTATTTTTCTCTCTCAAAGAATACAAGGCATTCTGTGATTGAAGGAGGGTATATGATGTCACATCCCCACCCCTTCCCCTCCAATCACAGAAGGCCTTGTTTTCTTTGAGAGAAATACAAGGTGTTTTGTGAATGTATGAGGAGAGGTGGGGATGCGAATGGAGCAATTTACTGTTTGAGTTGCATCCCTTGCTCCCTGCAGTGCCTGAGAGCCGTGTGTTATGTGTAGGAGCCGGCATGCTCTGCACTCATAACATATAGCTTTTTAGTGATAATTTACACACCCCGTGCAGTGTGTAAATTATATTTTTTTCCTGGAATTGGGCTATAAGTAGAAGATTAGAGACAGGGTGAGGTTGATAGTAAACTACTCACAGGGCTATTCGCAAAAGGGTGAAGGGTTTGGAGAAGGCAGAAGTGAACAATCTAGTACAACATAGGTTTTGAAAAATTCTCCACTTCAGCTCAGTTTCCAGTTCAGCTATGTTGTCCTAAAATGTTCACTTCTCCTGCCTTCCCCAAACTCTTCACCCTTTTGTGAATAACCCTGTCAGTTTTGCTTTGGTGACAAATTAAATGTTTATGCATGATAAATATGGCAATATATATTAGGGATGCACCGATACCGATTCTAGTATCAGTGCCGATACTGAGTATTTGGGCGAGTACTCGTGCTCGCCCAAATGCTCCCGATCCTGGAACTTTCGGTATCAGGAAGCCGGGCGGCAAATCATTACAGGCCGCCCCGTCACCTGGTGACGAGGGAGCACGGAGATGGATTCCCGGCTAATCAGGAAGTCGGGCGGTAAGTCAGAACATGCCGCCCGGTTTCCTTATTGGTACTTCCGGTATCGGTATTTGGTATCGGCAAGTACCCAAAAAAATATTTGTATTTGTACTCGATATCCAAAAACTAGTATAGGTGCATCCCTAATTTACTGTATATGCATGCATTATAAGTGTTACGGTGACCACACAATTTTGATATAATTATACGGTCTCATTTAGAGCTATCAACAACTATGTAGTGCAAGTCTCATTGGCTACTCATTGAATAAATAGTTTACGTAGGCCATCACATTATATCATTTTAATATCCCTAAAATAAATTGGTACAGATATCGTTCAATCAGATTGTAATGGGTATGGCCGGCTCTAATCGTGTTTGATTAATCGAAAAAAAATTTAATCGATTAATTATAACGCACATACAGATCCAACTACATTGGCCTATACACATACAGCACAGCAATGAAGTAATAAAATGAACTAGGATCACACTAATCCAGCACGTTCTTAATCTCAGGTGCCCTACTGAATATGGCCGCCGCTTGAGTGGGGCAACTCAGAATAATAACCTGCTGGATTAGTGTGATCCTAGTTCATTTTATTACTTCATTGCTGTGCTGTATGTGTATAGGCCAATGCCTTGGCTGGTGCTCATGCAGAAAGTTTCTTGGGCAAACTCACCGGCTCAAGTGGCTCCGTCGGCTAACGAAGGGAAGGGGGGAGGAGTCCAGTGACTTTGATGTCCGATGGGGACCGATAAAGAAGGACTGCCATTGATGGCCCTGATATTACCTCTCAGAACATCCAATAATTAGATATCTAAACCAGGATTGCCAGTTCTGCCCAACAGTTTTAGCTAGTACATAGTCAGATGATCATTGTGCTCCCCTGATGCTAACCGCATCATTGGAGAATTAAATATGACCTTGTAGGAGGGGATGGAGTAAATTGGGTGAAATTGATGGACAAACTTCATTAGTCTTCATCCAAAAATTGCTGACATACATGTTACAATATACAGCAACAGGCTTTTCTGTTAAAAAAACAGTCATTGTGCTCCAGACAACTGACTTTAATTAGGCTGAGATATAGGCAGGAGAAAGCTTTTCCTCATCGCCTGTCTCCCAGCGACCGTATGTTGTAACTGTGCTCTGTCGGCTAACAAAGGGAAGGGGGAGGAGTCCGGTGACGTAACGGACATCGACGTCATCAGACTCCTCCCCCCTTCCCCTCGTTAGCCGATGGAGCCACTTGGGGCCACTCTCCGACGGAACTCCCAGAAGGCGGCAGAGAGGTGAGTACCGAGTTATTAATCTCAGGTGCCCCACTGAATATGGCCGCCGCTTGAGTGGGGCAACTCAGAATAATAACCTGCTGGATTAGTGTGATCCTAGTTCATTTTATTACTTCATTGCTGTGCTGTATGTGTATAGGCCAATGCCTTGGCTGGTGCTCATGCAGAAAGTTTCTTGGGCAAACTCACCGGCTCAAGTGGCTCCGTCGGCTAACGAAGGGAAGGGGGGAGGAGTCCAGTGACTTTGATGTCCGATGGGGACCGATAAAGAAGGACTGCCATTGATGGCCCTGATATTACCTCTCAGAACATCCAATAATTAGATATCTAAACCAGGATTGCCAGTTCTGCCCAACAGTTTTAGCTAGTACATAGTCAGATGATCATTGTGCTCCCCTGATGCTAACCGCATCATTGGAGAATTAAATATGACCTTGTAGGAGGGGATGGAGTAAATTGGGTGAAATTGATGGACAAACTTCATTAGTCTTCATCCAAAAATTGCTGACATACATGTTACAATATACAGCAACAGGCTTTTCTGTTAAAAAAACAGTCATTGTGCTCCAGACAACTGACTTTAATTAGGCTGAGATATAGGCAGGAGAAAGCTTTTCCTCATCGCCTGTCTCCCAGCGACCGTATGTTGTAACTGTGCTCTGTCGGCTAACAAAGGGAAGGGGGAGGAGTCCGGTGACGTAACGGACATCGACGTCATCAGACTCCTCCCCCCTTCCCCTCGTTAGCCGATGGAGCCACTTGGGGCCACTCTCCGACGGAACTCCCAGAAGGCGGCAGAGAGGTGAGTACCGATCAAAAGAATTTTAATCGATCAAAAAAATTAACAATGAATCGAGGAATTAATCGTTAATTTCCGCAGCCCTAAAAAAAAGGTATTTGTATAGAATGTATTGATACCCTAAACAACTGCATTCATTTTAAGAGAACAGAAACTAAAGTGCCTTCTTTTTTACACTTACCTGTCATATGGACAATTTGTTTTCCCGACGGTGGTGTCCACATCGTGAGGGATGAGCCAGAGAAAATCCTCACAGGTATGCAGACGTATGTTGTCCCAGTCAGATTTGGAGACATAGCTGCAGCCAGCATTGAAATCTCCCAGGAAGATAATATTCTAGAAAACAGAGTACGATTATCATATTTATTTCTTACAGCCCAGCGATCAGATATTTGACCTTCGGCTCTTATTATATTTTGTATTCCCTTTGTGAGAATAATTAAATAAAATAATTTCTAGGAACAGATGCGAATTATTGCCAATTTTTCCTATATTTTGTGCCTCCAGTAATGATGGCCGTGCAATATAAATCTCTATTTCTCCTGTTCCATTCTTCCTCTTACTAGCAATATACTAAGTACACTTTCTACAGATTCAGCTTTTCTTCATTTCTATCTTCTTACACTGACTCTCTTCTATGCAATTTTATTTCCGTCCTCCCGTTTCCTAATTTCTCTGGTGACTCTTCTGCCTCATTGGCACCCCCAAACGCACCTCCCACCCACAGATCAATTGCCTGCATCGGAACACGAGGTTCCGCAATGCCGTGTGTTACATTGCAGTGCAAATTGGGTCACAACCTAATGACCACGGACAAATGTGGGTCCTGAGGTTACGCAGGTTGAGAACCACTGCTCTAGATGTACATAAATGGAAAATTTCCACGGAAGGTACATGTAGAGTTTCTCTTTGGCAAATAATAATATAAACCATTGAACATTGTTCTGCATCAGGGGTGGGCAACCTCGGCACTCCAGCTGTTGTGAAACTACAAGTCCCATGAAACACTGCAAGACTCTGACAGCCACAGGCATGACTCCCAGAGGCAAAGGCGTAATGAGATATGTGGTTTAACCCCAGCTGGAGTGCCGAGGTTGCTCACCCCTGACTTTACCCTCATTTTTTTATAATCCCATGCCTTAAAAGTGAAAGGAAATTTCCACAATGGGGGCACAAAAACCAGCAACAAGTCTCACCACTGCTGGAGTGCCGAAGTTGCTTACCCCTGTGCTATATAATAAAAACCGTTATACTTTTAGAGTCACAGTGCTTACATCGGTCTGCCATTTGTCCAACACATCGCGGTAAACATCATACAAGGCATCTATCTCACGAACCGCATCCTTAGGTGCAGCATGTAAAGGAACCAGCACAAAATCTTGAATGACTGGGAAAACATCAACATAACGATCATATAACACATATGGTTATGCTCCATATTTCATCTGTGACTTCTAGGACGTATACAGGCTTATTATATCTGAATTCCAGGAAATGAAAATATTGTCTTATTTCATACAAGAGTCCATGTGTGTTCTTCCTGGAATCTTGGTGAGCTATGTGTATTTCTTCCAGATCTGTGCAGTGATTCAGTGTGACACTTGGAGCTTCCTGTAACAAAGACCGATCACTGCTGCTCGGAGTACGGAGTGACTGGTCCTGCTCACAGCTGCTCTCTCCTTGTGCAGGGTGACTGGTCTTATCTCCACCCCCTCCTGGAGTTTTCTGCAGGCAGCCTGTAGTGGGTGGGGCCTGCTAGGCCCCGCCCACAGCTCTGTTCTCTGTAATGGTTATATGCAGCACAGTGATGGTGTCACTGCTAGTTTTATATGGCAATAACAGGATTTGCTAAGGCATTTGGTGCAGACAAATTCCAATTATATCCTTCGTGGATATTGAAGAATATATTTAAATTAATTTTGTTTGGTGCCCGCAGTTCAGCTTTTAGGCCTCATTCACACACAAGGCAAGCAAAATTGTATATTGCGTATATACGCGTCTATGCGCGTATATACACGTCTATGCGCGTATATACGAGCCTCTATGCGCGTATATACGAGCGTATATGTGTGCACTATATGCAATCCCAGAATGCATTACTCGTAATGGAATTTTCAATGTGTTGTACACATGTACGTGCGTATATAAACGTATATGCGCGTAAACAGGCGTATGTGCGTGGAAATACGCAGAAATACGCTGCTCGGACGCATCTCTGTTTCACTCTGTTTTTGCGCATATATACGCTACGCAAATATACGGCTCCATACGCGGCTATGGGTATGGAGCCATTTATTTGCATATGTTGGATATGGTACAATACGCACGTACGCGCGTATACGCGCAGCAGTGTGAATGGGGCCTTAAAGGTTAGTCTGCCAGAGCTGATATTTTATTTCTGGATAGATGCCAAAAAGATGGACAACAAAATGGTTCCTCTTATCCCATAAGCAGTTGAGTCATGAGCTCACACACCTATCACCAGTTTTAAACCTGTAAATTAAACCTTCTGAACCCCACTGCTAGTTGGAGCATATATAGCAATGATGTCTCGTGTTACAGCGTAAACCAATCACCAAGTACTATTGCTGTCATGTGGGAGAAGGGGATCGAGTCACCTGATCCCCCAAGAAATGGCGGGTAAAGGGAAACTTAGTATGTGCACCTGGTGGGGGTCACTATTAAAGAGAACCTCTCTGAAGGGCAAAGCGTATGCTTGTGTTAAAATCATTCCTACCAAGAGGTTCAAGCCTATGACAGGCTTGCTTTCAGTTCACAGCTGTGCACACCCACCATGGCCATTCCAAGTGGATGCCACTCTACCTGATTTTTTAATAAAATGTATATTACGGAGAACACAAAATGAGACCCTAAGATATGTAAGAAGCCGCTATATGACTGTGTGCTCATCAGACTCCTCTATTACTTAAATTACTTAAATTTCACTTGAAGGTGGACTGATCCTTATGTAAGGGAGCTCCAATCACGTGGTGATAATGTAAAAAGTGAGGAAACTATCTGGATTTCACTTTTCGTTATAAACTTATGCTGGCCACACACTTATGGATTATCTGCAGATTTTCTATGGTCAGATAGAAAAAGTGCAACGGATTCCTCCATCTACGCTACACTGTGTGGATGGAGGAATCTTCAGTACCTTGCTAGTCGGCCCCACTGGCTCTCATAATACCTGAACAATCTGATTGGATGCCAGCATTGTTCAGGTATTTTGCCTTCTGTGTCCAATTGGAAAGATTTCCCTTCACTTCCTGTCTGATAGCCACATCAAAATGTTGGAGGAAATCCCTCAAAAGTGAGGGAAATCCCTGGTGGTCAGCAGTGTCACCAGAACTAGAGATCCCATGGGGAGGTTTCCCATATATTCCTGTTCTCATGACAACCCATGATTTGAAATCTTCTTTCACTTCCAAGTTCCAGTGATAGCAGTCACCAGGACCAATAGAGAGGGTGAATCTCCATAATGGGGACACAGACAGCAATAAAAACCTGATAGGTTTTCTAATATCTCCCCACTCTATCCAAAAGTTTTGGCTTCAGTTGTAGGTACTTTTAGAATGTTGTTCTTACCTGTATTTAGGCACTTGAAGTGGACCACATACGGTTCCCTGCTGAATGTGTCTTCTCCAGTGTACAAGTTGTGATCGTGGTAGTGGTAGGAGTCTTGTGCAGTGACCTTGTCATTCCTAAAGGGTGAAGTAACCAAGAATTAAAGTGCAACTTCAGATATATGGAGAACGAAAAGGGGGAAGTGTATTCACTGTCTCATATAAGGCCTGGTTCACACCTAGGCGATTGAGCTGTTTTGTGCTGTTTTTGCGTGATTTTGCTTTGAAAAGCATTCAAAAAAAGCACCGTTTTCAATGCATAGAGATGTCTATGGGACCAAAACCGCATGATAACTGCCCAAAAATAGCTCCAGCACTTTTTTGCACGAGAGGCCATTTCGCCCGATATGCTCCGATGCCTAGCCCGATACTTCCGGTATCAGGAAGCCGGGCAGCGAGTCATTACACGCTGCCCAGCTTCCTGATTGGACGGGAAGCGGCTCCATGCTCCCTCATCACTTCTGACGAGGGAGCATGGAGCCGGCTTCCCAGCCAATCAGGAAGCCAAGCAGCATGTAATAACTCGCTGCCCGGCTTCCTGATGGGTCAGGAGGCTGACCCATCAGGAAGCCGGGCGCCGTATAATGACGCAGCACCCGACTTTCTGATTGGCTGGGAAGCCTGTTTCATGCTCCCTCGTCATGAGGTGATGAGGGAGCATAAAGCCGGCTTCCCAGCCAATCATTACATGGTGCCCGGCTTCCTGATTGTCCAGAAAGCCAGCTCCATGCTTTCTAGTGACGATAAGCATGGGGGCGGCTTCCCTGCTAATCAGGAAACCAGGTGGCGAGTCTTTCAGGAGCTCCCGAATGCAATTCGGAAATTTGGATCCCGAATGCCATTTGGGTCTAGGAGCCTCAGCTTTCGTATTATATGTGTATACTGTATATGGCTCCCATGTTGCCGTAACGAAAATTCGTGTTCAGACCTAATCGGATGCGTTAAACCGAAAAACACATCTGATTGGCCAGAAAAGTCAACTGTCCGATTCAATTTCATTTTTGAATGAAACTCAGACGGGATCCAAAATTTAGAAACGGGAATTCGGATTTGGACACATTCGGATGCATTGAGATTCGGAAATTCGTATGTGTGAACTAGACATGCTCATTGGTAGGCTGTGTCCTCGGTAAATACTAAAAGCTTGATGCTTGATTAAAGCACACCTATGTTATACTGTGTTACAGGCAATCCTGAGGCATCTCAAAGGTAAATCTCACCTATAAACAAACAGGTAGCGTTCCTTGTAAGTATCCCGTCCTAAAGTATCACTGACCACATGGGAATACTGGGGTTCTTTACAATGGCTGCAATTGAAGGAAATCATTTTTAATATACAACCAAGACATAAATACAGTATAAAGTGTCCTAAATTACAAATCTATCTAGAAAAAAGCATTCAAACATATAAAGCACAACTCCAGGATTTAAGGATGTTATAGATTAATGACTGGAGACACTCTCCAAAGCTTTGTTTTCTCTGGCAGGTCCTGCATTACAACCTGCCATGGCCATGATGCTAGTCTGTCAAACATTAGGTGTATGAACTCAATGAATGAGAAGGGTTCTCGTTTCACACCAAACTGATCATCTATTTGTGGAATGCTTACAGGTTATGCCTGTCAGGAAGCCGAATGCTTACAGGTTATGCCTGTCAGGAAGTGGGGATGGATTGGTGGATGACTCTCATTTTATTTCCTGTATAAGTGTCCTATCAATAAACATGAGGAGAACTCCTTTGCTGGGCTGTGGAACAGGCATATAAAAAGTGTTTGCTGTTTTTGCCCTTCGAGGGACAATGTTTCTTTGGGGCTGCCTTGGACTCCCTCATCAAGGATGTCACTGGGAGTAGGAGTACTCATCTACTCCAGCGGAAGTCTAGGCCTCAAGCTGGGAATAATAATTTCTCCTGAGGCTGAGAAGAATTCCCTTTGTTACTCTCAGGCTTCAGCGTATACGGCCAAGCCCAAGTCAGGAGCCCAATTTTACTGCAAGCCCTGGGCCCTGCAGACAAGTTGTCTTCGGCATGAAGGGGTGCCCCCACTTTCCAAAGCTGGGGATATCTGTTATCCTTTGCAGACACTTGGGCAGACAGAATTCAGGTGTCTGGGTACAGGAGATGGTTTCAATGGGCTACAAACTAGAGTTACATTCCCAACCCCCTCCTTGCTTCATGTCTTTCAAACTTGTCACCAGTCAGATTACACACCACAATTTGGCTCTTGCAGGTCTTCTGGAACAATGGGTTATCACGCCAGTTCCTGTATCGCTGGAGGAATCCTGACTCCTGATCATTATTCTGGAGTTGCAAGCAGAGCAGTGGCGTACATAAACCATCAGGGATGAAATAGAAGTCTTACCACGGCAAAGAAGTAGAAAGAATTCTGTCCTGGGCAGAACTTTCCATTCCAACCTTGTCCCCCAGTTCACATTCCATTGGTGGGCAACTGGCAGGCAGACTACCTCAGCCGGCAGCACCTGGAACAGGGGGAATGGTCCCTACACCTCGAAGTGTTTCAGAACCTGTGTCATAGGTGGGGGATACTATATGTATCCTCCTTCTGGCCTCCAGGTTCAACAACAAAATGGACAGATTTGCATCTAGGTGCAGAGATCCTCTGACTAATGAAGTGGATGTTCTGGTGGCTCCATGTTGTCAGTACAGCCTGACCTATGCCTTTTCCCCCCCCAAAACTCCTTCCTCATCTGCTTCGCAGGACTAAAATGGAGGCTTGGCAGATGTGTTAGTCTGACCTGATAAGATTCCTAGTAGACGTTCCATTGGCTCTTCCAGATCATCCGGATCTTCTGTTCCAGGGAGTGGTTTACCATCCTGCTTCACGGTCACTGGCCTTTACAAAATGGCTGTTGAAATCCAGGTCTTGAGGTACAGAGGTCCCTCCAACTCAGTGATTCCCACTAAGTTAAAAGCCAGAAAGACCACTTCCCACAAGGTCTACCATCGCACATGGCATACTTCGGTTGGTGCGAGAAAATACATTTTTATCCCAGAAAATAATCCATGGGATAGATCCTGATCTTTTTAGAATCAGGCCTGGATCAGCACTTGGCCCTGATAAATATAAAGGGGCAGATCTCAGCATTTGTGATTGTGTTCCAGAGTTAGCCTCCTATTGTTCAATTAAGACCTTTGTGTTGGGTGTTTCTCATGTGGCTCCCCCTCTGCTCCCCCTCTGCACCCACCAGTATCCCTGTAGGATTTGAATTTGGTTCTCTTGGTGCTTAAAAAAACATCCTACAAGGTTGTGTTCCTTGTTGCCCTGTTGCTGTTTTGTCTGAACTGGCAGCTTTGTCCTATCTAGGCCTTACACACAGACAAGGTGGCATTATGACTAGAGCCTCCGTCCTTCTCCCATGGCATACTGTGGTAGAACCGTGAGTACGTCTCGGGCTTTTTGGCATCAGGCAACTGTTTCCTATATTTGCAAGGGTGCCACCTAGTCTTCTGTTCACATGTTCTCCAAATATTGACAGGTAGATGTTCAAGCTTCTTCTGTTGCCAGCTTAGGCAAAGGGTCCTTCTGGAAGCTCTTTGAGCTGCAGACAGTACCCAGTTCTCTTCTGTTATTATAGTTGGGCCTGTTTTAGCTTTTTGTTTTTTGTGTTGCCCACCCATTGGTTGAACTGCTTTAAGACAAGCAAATTGTCCCTGGATCCTTGGATTTTGTAACTCACCGTAAAATCCTCTTCTTGGAAGTTCATTGAGGGACACAGGCCCAATCTCTCTGTGTTTATGGTCTTGCACCTAATACTGCTTGTTACAATGCTGGGAGTGGGAAGGGTTACACTAGGCAGGTCACTTTTTTGTTTGCCAGTGCCCAAATCCTAATGTAGGTGGCATTATAACCCAGTTGTCTCTGAATTCCGTGTCTCTCAATTAACTTCCACGAAAACCATTTTACAGTGTGTACAAAATTCAAATTTTTGTTAAGCAGAGTAGAGACGAGTGAGAATATTGCTTCCTCTGTCCTTGTTGGAGAAATTTCACTCCTTCTGTTGTCACCAGGATAGGAATGGGGGGGGGGGATTCCCTTGTAGGGTCACAACAATCAATAATAAGAACTTCAGCAATTCAAACTGAGTATATAATGAAAGCATGAACAGAGATCACATCAGAACTGCCTGAAGGAGGGGACCCCCTTTAGAAGAAGTTTTTATATTAAATGGAAAGTATAAAAAGAACAGGTAAATGGTAACAAGCGCATTCTTACCTGTTCAGTTCAGTCATCAGTGTTTCAACAGCACTGAGATCAGAGTCCCTGACCTCCTGAATCAGGACAATGTCATAACGGGGCAATATCTGTAAATGCATGAGAGAACAATCAATCCAGGCCCAGACTGGCAAACTGGCAATACAAGTATCTCCTAGAAGGGCAACTAAATCTGTGAGCATTAAAAGACGGCACCTGTAGGCGCCTCTGCCTCAATTAAAGCCCAATTGAACCTTCAGTTTAAATTAGGCAAGTACGTTCAGGTGCATCAAAACAAAAGCTCTGCACAGTACAGTTTGTTTTCTTTAGAGTAGACGCACCTTTCCCCTACCAGCAGCTCTCTGTGAGGAAGCAGCTGTCTTTCTGCAGAGATCAGAAGCCCCCTTCTGAGTCAGAGACAGAGTTCATCAATGAGCAGGGGAATTGAGCTTTGGTGATTGCAGAGCTAATAGTCTGACTCAGTAGGGGACATGTCAGACCTCTACAGAGAGACTACTGCTTCCACACAAGGGTCCTACTCTGCAACTGCTGGCAGGGGAAAGGCTGTAGCTGTTTTAAGAAAATAACTTTGTGCATTGGCACTTCACTCCCCCGGCGGGGTTGGGGGGGGGGGGGGGGGAGGAAGGGGGGGAGAGGGGTAAAAAAAACCCCCCCCCGGGGGGGGGGGGGGGGGGGGGGGGAGAGAAAGAGAGAGAGAGAGATTTGTATTGGTAACCGTTGTCACCAAGAAAGAAAATGCTACATTTTAGAGTTGTTCCCAAAGCAAAAGTTTATGGGGAATCTTCCAGTGGGGGAACCTGTTTCAGGGGAAATGATCTAAGAGGGGCACTTTGGGAGATTTCCTCTAACTTCCTGTTGCATCTCTGGGACAGAAAGTGAAGGGAAATTTCCCTCAAATGTAAAAACAAAAATAGTCTGGTGGGATTTTTAACCCTTCCCTACTCTATTCAAAATTAAATTTTAAAAATGTGGCTTTACATACACTTTAATCTGAAATTAAGCGATTCATTACCTTCATGATGATCGATGACACTTCAGGATTTGACATCTTAGAGTCTCCAAAAGACTGGATGTTAAATGCTCCGATCTTCAAAGCCGAAACAGAGCTCAAGGTGAGCGCGAGTCCGATAATGATACGCATCATGTCTGTGATGGGATCAAAACACAGGTCTATAGATACAGGCTGTCATAATGCATAGATCAAGAGCGGGCAGCATCAGCAGCAGACTCAATGCTTGCTGACCAGGGGGACAGGAACTGCCTGACTGGGCACACAGAGGATTAAAGGCAGTAAAGGCTGTACAAGGATTCTAAGTAGACATGTATGATTAATTTCCTTCCAAATTGAAATTCGGAACGAATATTGGCATATTCTGACAACCTGATGCATCCAAATTTCCGAATGAAAGAAATAACGAATCTGAACGTATTCTAATTTTTGATGCATCCAAAATATTTTCCAAATGTCATTCGGAATGAACTGATGTTGTCAAACCTTAAAATAAAATTTAAAAAACAGCATGGAGTCCCCTCCCCAATTCATACCAGACCCTTTAGGTCTGCTAGGAATTTTAGGGGGGCACCCCAATGCCAAAAAAAAAGAGTGTAGTGCCCCCAAAATCCCTTACCAGACCCTTGATCCGATCAGCAGCCTGGCAGAGCAGAAAAGGGGGGGACAATCGTGTGTCCTCTAGCACAATACGAGGCCACATGCCCTCGACATGGGGAGGGTGCTTAGGCAGGGGGGACCCCCTGGCAAACCACCTTGTCCCCATGTTGATGAGGACAAGGGCCTCTCCCCCACAATGCTGGCACGGTGGTTGTGGGGGTCTGCAGGCAGGGGGGGCTTATCTGAATCTGGGTGCCCCCTTTCATAAAGGGGGCATCCAGATCCTGCCCCCTCCCCTTGTGAATGAGTAAGGGGTAGTTGTTAACCATACTCATTCACCAAATAGAGTAAAATAGTAAATAAACAAACCACACTGCCTTCAAAAGTCCTTTATTTAATCATGTTTTCCAGCGATGAAAAAAAAATCTACCCTACCACATCCGAACCCGACGAACACCGACCGCAAAATGACAGGTCTGACCTGAATGTCAACAAAGGGGCGGAGCAAGTCGTGATCTCATGGGACTTGTTCCACCCATTTGTTTACAATCCATTAGGGGACAGAGAGTTGTCAGAGAATGTAAACAAATGGGCGGAACAAGTCCCGTGACCCCAGAAAACCGTTAAATAGTGATCGTTTTTAATAGATTGTTTCTGATAGATTTGTATTTAGAATCATTACCATATGTATTCCATCGTTCCATATTTGAATCAATGATAAATGCTATTATGTAACAATATATCCGGGCAGAAACAACAAATGACGGATAATAGGTTGAAATCTTTTGCACTGTTATATGTTAGAAAGCAGCAGCTGACACGAAGTAACTCGTATACTTTTGCAACAAATGATTCTTTATAAACAGTGAATGGCTAAAATTGTCTTACATAGAACAAATTACGTATCATTTCAGCTAAGAATGTGGAATCATGCAGGAAGCTTTAATATATATATATAAATATGTAAATGTGTGTGTGTATATATATACATACACACACATCAGCAATAGGTTGGACTTGATGGACTTATGTCTTTATTCAACCTCAAATACTATGTAAATATGAGAAGATTCAACACCGGTGGATGATGAAAGGGCAAAAAAAGAAAAGGAAGCACAATGTAAATAAAAGAATGCAAATAGTCTAATTGCTACCCTGGATGAATCATTTATCATGGATGAAATTACTTTTGCACGATATTCTAATTATTCGAGTTTCACCTGTAATCTCTGTAGCGTGTAATTATCACACACATGTCTAATGTATACCCGGCCTGGAATGTTAACATACCTGGAGTAGATATCATATGGCATGCAGCTTCCATTTATATATGTAATTCATAGGGTATGAATGGTAGATAGATTCTATGGTCACATTTGTGTTGGAGGAACGTGCCAATTACTCAGATCAATTGCAAAAAACTGTTCCTGGAAACCACAGAAGCCTTTTTAGGAAATCAGCCTAAAGCTGGCCATACGCTGTACAATTTGATTGTACAATTTCCTTCATATCCACCATCAACTATGTAATGCAAGGGTCGGCCTGGCTTGATACAAAACTAAATGGATTGTTTAGCTTTGTCCTCATATTGCATAGTTTTTATAGATCTAAAGGAGATTGTACAGAATGCAATTGTAGTTTTTACACCTATGCGCACCTGCCCCCTGCCCCTGCATGTATGTAGGGCAGGGGACTTTAAAAAAAAAATGTGTGCTTTTTTATTATATGTAGCTTTAATGTTTAAACTTGTTTTTACACTTAACGTTATTGCTATCACATAGGGGGCACAAAAATCCCCTATGTGATAGCAAAGAGTATGTGACAGGTCCTCTTTATGTCTTTGCACACCGTACCATTAGAGGTCCTCTTTATGGAGACATCAGGGGTCTATCAAGCTTCACCAGCTTCTTCTCTGGCTACAGCAGCCGGAGAAATATCAGGCTGAAACTGGCAGTGATGTAATACACATGTAATACACATCACTTCCACATTCAGTGATCGGAGGGGAGCTCAGCAGGAGGATGTGTGCTGATCTCCCTCTGATCTCAGTGCAGAGAGCAGCCCACA